GGCGGGGAAGCCTGAGCGCTGGCAGCGCCAAGCACCGGCCTAGAAAGGGGCGAGGAGAAGGGGGCCAAGATAAAACTTTTGGGCGGCAAGGAGGCGCAGCAGCCGAGACGAGCTGCCCGTCTGTGGTGAGGAGGGTGAGAAGAGGGGGGGAAGTTGTGGGAGAGGGTTGGAAGTGAGTTGCTGACAGGGACTGTGGACTCCGATGGGGAAGCTGTTTGGCACAGTTGATCCCTGCAGCAGTACGTTACGTACTTGTATAGAAACCGGTACTGTGTGATGGTGCTGCATAAATACCGGAGTAGGGCCCTGAAACGATGCGGCTGCATCGCTGTGAGGAGCGGTGGTCAATACATGTGGGTGTCCCATACCTCGGCAGGAGGATGATTTTTGTACGTGTATATACTTGTGCATGTACATTACTGTATTTATGGGTATTTGGGCATACATAGATACTTTGTAGCCTTTATTTTACTAAGAAAAACTGCAAAACTCTTCCAACATTGCTGGTTAGGTAGCTCAGTCACACCTTGCTTGGAAGCAAGATGGCGGCTGTAGTTTCGGCTGCATCTTTTCACTTGAACAGGTAACATGTGTCTTTAATTCCTGGTAGCATCTTAGTTTCCTCGGGTCAGAAGAATGAGTGTTAACCTGCTGTTGTCAATTACAGTTAATTCTCAGGACCTTTTGGATGAGTTGTGGAAAAAAAAAAAATCTCTCTCCAACAGAATGAGTGCCGCAGCAGCCACGAGTTGTGCCTTGCCACCACCACTTGGGCCTGAACAAGAGGACCAAGAGTGCTCAGAGACACACATGTCTGTTTTGTGGTATGCCGGGCAGCTTGCAGTTACTTACTATGATACAGAAGATTGCTCAGTCTACTTCATGCCTGACATACCTGATAATGAAGACCTCAAGCTACTGCATAAAGTGATTAGGGAAGTTAATCCTCAGTGCATAGTGACCAGTGCAAAACAGGACCAGAATATTGCCAGATTCCTGACCAGCCTAACAGCTACTGCTGGTGATAAAGATACAGGAAAACCAGAAATTGTCCTGTTTCCTAATATAGATTTTGGCCTAGAAGTCAGCAAGCAGCGGATCTTATCTCGGCAATTTCCATTTATCCCATCTCATATGACTGCAACAGAGAAAATTCTCTACTTGTCCTCAATCATCCCTTTTGAGAGCCCACTCATGATACGAGCCCTAGGGGGACTCCTTAAGTTCCTAGACAGGAGAAGGGTTGGAGTTGAGCTCGAAGAAAGCACTATTGCAGTTCCTATTTTGGCCTTTAAAAAGTTTGTGCTGTCAGATATTGTGAATATAGACGAAGACACTTACTGTGTCCTGCAGATATTTAAAAGTGATATCCATCCTTCTGTGTACAAGCTGTCGAGTGGATTAAAAGAAGGATTCAGTTTATATGGGATTTTAAATCGCTGCAGGTGCAAATGGGGAGAAAAACTGCTGAGGCTGTGGCTCACACGACCTACTCGGAACTTCACAGAGCTGAACAAACGGCTGGATGTCATCCACTTCTTCCTGCTGGCTCAGAACCATGAAACAGTCCTCACTCTTCAAGGTTGCCTCAAGAATATTAAAAATGTGCCTCTTATTCTGAAGAGAATGCCTCTTTCCCACACAAAAGTTAGTGACTGGCAAGCACTCTATAAGACAGTGTACAGTGCAGTGTGCCTTAGAGACACATGTCGTTCTCTGCCCAACACTATTGAACTCTTTCAGACTATTTCACGTGTCTTCACTGATGATCTGCAGTACATTGCTAGTCTGATCAGCAAAGTGGTGGACTTTGAAGGCAGCGCCTCAGAGAACCGCTTCACTGTTAGACCCAACGTGGACCCTGCCATCGATGAAAAGAAACGTAAGCTAATGGGGCTTTCAGACTTCCTTACAGAAGTGGCACGAAAAGAACTGGAGGCCTTGGACAATCATATTCCCTCCTGTTGCGTGATCTACATTCCTTTGATTGGGTTCCTTCTCTCCATTCCACGGCTACCAACTATGGTGGATAAGAGCGACTTTGAAATTGAAGGCTTGGACTTCATGTTCTTGTCAGAGGATAAACTGCACTACCGAAGTGCTAGAACTAAGGAGCTAGACAGCCTGCTGGGTGACTTGCACTGTGAGATCAGAGATCAGGAAACACTTATCATGCACCAGCTGCAGACAAAGATCTTGGAGAAGTCTGAAGTGCTCAACAGTGTGATTGAGTATACTGCACACCTAGATGTGCTACTAGCTTTGGCAGTGATGGCCCGGGAGAATGCCTACTGCCGGCCACGCTTTACTCACCGCCATGGCTTCCACATCAAGGATGGAAGACATCCACTCATGGAACTATGTGCAAAGACTTTTGTGGCCAATCCTGTGAACAGTGGCGAGGCTACCAGACGAATAAAGATCATCACAGGGCCCAACTCATCTGGAAAGAGCGTCTACTTAAAGCAAGTAGGTCTTATAGTATTCATGGCTTTAATTGGCAGTTACGTCCCTGCAGCAGAGGCAGAGATTGGAGTAGTTGATGGGATTTACACAAGAATCCACAGTAGGGAATCAGTTTCTGTAGGGCTCTCCACTTTCATGATTGATCTTAACCAGGTTGCCAAGGCAGTGAACAATGCCACAGAGAGGTCCTTGGTACTTATTGATGAGTTTGGTAAGGGGACCAACACCCTGGACGGCCTGTCCCTTCTGGCTGCTGTCCTGAGGTACTGGATCAGTCAAGGAACACGGTGTCCGCAGGTTTTTGTCTCCACTAATTTTCACAGTTTAATGCAGCTAGAACTCCTGCCTGACACACCTCTTCTGGAGTGCCTGACCATGGAGACCCACCAAGATGGAGATGAGTTGATATTTTTCTATCAGATCAAACAGGGCAGGTCCACTGTTAGTGAAAGAGGAGTGGAAGTGTCAGAACTGATTCGCAATGGAAAAGCTATCAAACGTATTGATCATCCTTCAAAAGGGGATCGGATGGAAAAATGCAAGTCTGTTGTGGAAAAGTTTCTTCGCCTAGACCTTGATGATCCCCATGTGGACTTACAAGAGTTCATGTGTAAAGAGGTGCTGCCTTCTGCAGCCTCAGTCCTCTAACAGGGGTATGTGTAAAAGCACAGATTACATCATACCTACCATGTTCAGAAGGAGAGTCTGGCAATTTAGAGAATGATCACTACAACTAACACCCCACACTGCATTTAGCTTGTAACAAACCATCTATATTTAGGTCCTTTCTTCTTCTTCTTCTTGTTTAAAACAAGTACTAGAGTTACATATCTCTGCAATATGATAATGAAAGCAGGAAGACTGAAAGAAGAGAATTCCAGAACCTCTTTCAGCTGTTGGGTCACCCAGTTTTGTGCATTTTCTGCCCCTGTTGTTAGACCTTCAGATTAAAAAAATATTGTAGAAAAGTCACAAAACATTTCGGCTAGTCTCATAAGACAGTGAAAGCAAAGTATTGTTTTGTATTGTGCCAAAGTGATAGTTTCAGACATTTTAGGATCAGCATCAAAGATTCCAGGTAAGTATGTGCCTCAGACTTCCATATCAGCAAGTAACAGTTGTCACAATACAAACCACTGACGTAGAGGCTGATAAATGGAAATACAGAGGGATTTAATGAGTTCTGAGGCTTTTCTTATACCAGAACTTCTGTCCAAAATGCCAGAGATCTCAGGAGTTATTATAAAAACAATGCTGGAGGTCAGAATCAGTAGAGACTGATAAACAGGGGAATTGCTTTGGGTTTACCAAAGTCACTCTCTTCTCATAAGGTTCTATTATACGGTATGACTATGGGTATAAATAAAAGCAAAATTACAAATCTAGGAAACTGAAAACTATACTAGGGATGGAAGACAGAAATTCAGGTTTTATATTGTATTTTTGGGTACTGAGTAAAACTTAACATTAAAGGAACAATACCAGAAGGGGAAGATTCCCTTTCACTTCTCCTGTCATGCAGAGGATCTTTACTTAACACAGTATTTGATGTATGCATATGCAACAACAATTCATTAACAGATTAATGAAGCAGGAGAAATTATATGTAAGTACTACAGAAGTAATAACCTTTCCTGCAATGAGTTAAGGGCTTGAGATTCCTCATCTAAATAAGACAGAAGAGATATTAGATAACTTATTGTCTGACTGCCAAAACTTGCTGTAACTGCTCACAGGATGGCTAATAAAAGACATCAGCAGACATATTACATCTCTGTTCAGCTATATTTGATTTCAAGAAGCCAAAAATATTAATGTCATATAAATTGAGAGAAAATTTACATGAGAAAAAAGTAATTACCTTCATAATTATCAGTACTAAACATCTATCTGGTATGTCTAGCTAAAGAAAGCAAAAAGATGTATGTGAGTGCACATCAAAAAGATACGAATTTCAAGACACTGCTTTGGGTTTGATTCAGTGTGTAATTTCCTCCTTTCTGATGAAGAATTTATTATTATTATTATTACAAAATAAGTACCTTATGTTATCTCTATATGAAACTAGGATAGTGGCAAAAGTTTAATATAATTTACATTTAAAAACCCCAAGAATAAATTACTGAATCATGCAGTCACTGCTATTTCCAGTGCAATCATAATAATACTGTCTGCCAAACAATATTGAGCATCTTGATGATGTTACCATTGAAGTTGAATGGTTACAGTGAATCAGGCCTTGTGCAACACTTGTAAGTGTTGTAAATACTAACGGATTTTTCTCACTAATATATTCTCCTTTACTAATTAAAATACAGCATTCTAAAGATATACTGTACAGAATAATATAATATATTAAATATTCTTAAATTATATTATTGGCATTTTTTCTTGTCAACCACTGTCTAGGCTAAGGATAAACTCCTTACTAATTAAGCAGATGCCATCAGAGCAATTTAGCTGTCAGTCATCTTCTATTTATGAAATCCATTTCACAGTATTTGCAGTTTTGGCAGCACTAGGTATCCAAGGATCTCCAAATGTCACACAGAGTTTATCAGGCGTGCCTCACAACACGCCCTGAAATAAACAGCAGTCTGGACAAATGAAAAGCAGGGGGGTTGTGACTGACCTGTGGCAGCACAGCAGGCGAGCGAGGGAAGCAGGAATAGAAATGTTATCTTCAAGTGCAAAACTCCGCTTCCTTCTTTCATTGTGCTTCCCTAGGTTCTTTGTATAGAAGACAAGGATACTAAACCCAAGATCCTTATCGTTCAAACAATCAACTGTGTAAACAGCTAAACACCTGCAAGTAAATTGTATCCCTTTATCTCCTTCCACAAGGACACCTAGAGGCACACTGCACCTCCTTATTTTGGGGAAGTTTTCAGTGGCACATTTGATCTCAGAATTGTCCAACCAACCATGAAGAATGAGTTGCTCCTACTTCTGAGTAGGTAAATAAGTTCTTTAACCTGAGAAGCTGAAGGGAGCACAGTAACCTGGATAGCTCTTTTCTAACCCACTTTACCTCACATTCTTACCCTTTCTTAATGTCTGTTTCCGAGTTTTTTGCATTTACCATTTTTAGCTTAATGCTGTGCCTTCCAAGTGGGAAGCTGATTTCTTCAGATCTTCATTAATTCCAAATTCTAAAACTCATGGTTTTGTAAATATCAGCTAAAATTTGGGAAAGTTAAAATCTTTTCAGAATATATGCATTTCAAAAATGCCTGTACCTATAGTAAGGTTTGAAAAACAGATTTGGGGTTTTTTTTTCCCAAAAGATAACTTTGGTGGAATTTAGATGTCCTTATGAGGAGAGTGGCTTAACTTATTGCTTAAAATACACTTAAAAAAATATGAATATAGTTATAAAGCTATAGCTGTGAACTGTACTCAACTACTTTAGTTCTATTTGATCTTTTATGTGCTTTCTCATGTAATCTCCATCCACTCCCCCTTTCTTGTTTTTCATACTTGTATGAAAAGTTGTATGATCTGAAAATACAATTAAACATTATATTAAAACATACTACAAAGTAGTTATTCCTTTTATGTTTCAGGTTTTTATTTATTGTTTTCAGTAAATGCATGAAACTATCTCACTAAATGCACAGACACAGTGAAACAAAAAAATTATAGTAAAGATCAATGCTTATGCCTGACAGTGGATTGACAGAGAAAAATTTCTGATAAAATAATTTATGGATTTTTAATATACAGTATCTTTCTATACAGTGTGTGTTTGGAATACCATATGCATTACCCAGCATTATGAAGAACTAAGGAAGATGATTTGGAATGACACTGACCTGGTTCTGTCAGCAGCAGTGAATATCACAATGCAGAAAGTATGTATACTGGCTAACAGTTCATGCAAGGTAGATAAAAGAAAACAAAACAAACAAACAGCCAAAAACCAACCACAAAACAGAATGGCAAACGCCCCACCCTGATTGTCTCAGATGTTTTAACCAAACAGCTGATATTCTAGAAGAGTTGTGGATTTTTCAAATGAGTGTTTTAAAAAACAGCTGTTTAATACAAGCAAAAGCTTATGTGAGCTTACAAATTTAATAGCTATAATGTACCACCTACAGCCTGTGGACAAGTTCTTATTCCTGTTTCAGAGGGAGTATGGATACCCTTGAAGCTTCTTGATGTATCTCAAATCTGACTGCCTTCTTCCAACTGATTTCACAATACCACATAATTAAAATATGCACCTTAAGCATTTTTTAGAGTTTTTTCTAATGACATTTTAAATTATTTTTCTTTAATGCTTACTATTAAGAAAAAAATAAAATATTTATATTATGTACTTCAGCCCTTATTTATAAATATATTTTTTCTGAAAATTATTTTCCTGGTCAATGTTGAAGGATCACATAAAACATTCTATATGATGTCAGCAAAAAAATTTTAAGGAGATATACCTTATATGTTAAATAAACCTAAATAAAAACCTAGACATACTAGTATTGCTTCTATATATGTATCATCACAGTTAGAACCTACTTTTATGTATTTGTGTATTTTGCCAAAAAAGCTAACAAATAGGCAAGAAATAACTGCCTGCAAGAGAGAATATATACCATGTGTTTCGTCACTGCTCTGAAATTCACCAAAGCATTTTCAATAGAGAGAACTGACAGTCTGCATATTATGCATAACCCAAATATAAATTCCACTTATTTTGTCCTATACAGTAACAAAACAAAACTATGCAAACAATCTGCATGCATTTAATCTACAACCTAATAATAACTCTGTAATTTTGAACAAGTACTCTCATCCTTTGGTTTTGCATAGTTTCACAAAGGAAAATAGACCATGATACCACTTTACTGAGAATATCAAGAGTGGCAACTTAAAGTTACAGCACAGGACTACTGTTTACATGGTAGATGTACTATTTTTTTTCTAAAAAATAAATCAGTATTTTCAAGCCTTACCTCTTCAGCTGGTTACAAAGCAGAAAGTATGATGCTTTAGCATAAGCAACTCCTTTGTTTGTCTCCGAATTAAACTTTCCAGATTGCTGCTGAGCTATAGGAAATGTGAGCTCACCTGCTTACGTAGCTGTGTTGATTTTGACAACTTCATGAAGGTCAGATGTGGTTTAAAAGCTCGCTCTTCTCCTGCCAAGATGCCCTTTTCTTGAAATATCTTCTTCATAGTCTCTGAGCGGGGAGAAAAACGTAGAAGTAGAAAGATATTACATGATAGAATATTTAAAAATGTGCTTTCTACTGGAACATGAGTCACAGCTGCTCCACGTGTTAAAAACAAGATGATGAGTACTAAAAGGCAGAGAGATTTCTAGTTAACTTCAAAGGTACATATTATTTAATGTGAAAACAGTCTTATATTGGCAGTTTATTTGGCTTTACTAAAATATTGGCAATTAGAAAGCTGTCCATGCTGGTTTTGTTATCAAAACAGGTACTTGACATTAGAACTGTTCAGGAGTTACTCTCACTGGGAGAGTTCTAGAAACTTCAGGAAAACTCTTGGCTATGTAACTGTCCTGGTTTCAGCTGGGATAGAGTTAATTTTCTTCATAGTAGCTGGCATAGTGCTGTCTTTTGGATTTAGTACCAGAAGAATGTTGATAACACACTGATGTTTTCAGCTGTTGCCAAGTAGTGCTCAGACTACTCAAGGACTTTTTGAGCTTCTCCTGCTTGCCCAGGTGCATAACAAGCTGGGAGTACAGCACAGCTAGCACAGCTAACCCAAACTG